ATCAAGTGACGCCAAGTCTGACACGCCCTCGGTGGATACTGGCCCCTACAGAGACCGCCCGCTGGACGAGTCTATAAAGCCGAGGCGCAGAGCGGAACTCTTTCTCTTCCCGTCCAGTTCATCTGGTGTAAGGAGACCCCCCCACCCCACCCCCCACCCCCCGCCTCTGCTCCTATCGCTCCGGGCAGTGTGTGCATGAGGCCTAGCTGCTGAGATCAACAGACCAACGCCATCTGATCTGCTCAGCCCTGGACACAGAAGGACGCCTTGTGTTCGTTCATTCAAGATATTTTTTTCTTTTTTTATCTCTCTTTCTCTCCCGCTTCTCTAATAGTCCAAAACAAGCGGTCGACCACGTGACTGCTTTAAAATAACAGACGGTCTCTCTCTTCCATACTAAAAATGCCAATGGACCATCTCGAAGTAAGCTCCGTTTCATTTATTGTTTAATATCTAAGTTTGTTTATGCTGTGGCCAGGCTGACAGACTGTTTAGATATGTAATTTGCCTTTATGACTGATCTGTTGTTTTTGTTTTTTGATGTTTGTGAAGCAATTTGAAGTGTTTTGATTAAGTTTACTGTGAACGTTTGCTCACACCGTCAAATATGCGTCTGATCAGGGTTCCACACCCACTGATTGTGCGTGTTTGGGAAGACAAGCTAAATTACACACACACACACACACACACACACACACACACACACACACACACACACACACACACACACACACACACAGTTCGATCCTTTGTTGCGCCAAACCAAGGATCCGCCAATTTGTTTTCAAAACTCCTTCCAGTTTGGTAATCAGCCTATCTCTGCCTGATTACATCATCAAGCAGCCTCACCATTGCTTGATCACATCACCATCTCACCCCACCAGTCTGATTAGATTGTTACTTCACATTATCATTCCATGGTTTCATTGCTTGTTGTTTGTTTGATAAAATCAGTTGGTTGATATTGATTGGCTAGCGCTTTGAAGGAGCTGAGGTGATTATATTAGTTAATAAATGTTATTGCCAATTAAGTTTTGTCTCGAGTGAATTTGTCTGTGTTGGATAGGATATGACCGCTGCTCGTTAAAAGAATTTTAGACAGATTCATAGAGGTTTGGATTAATTTTTCCCCTGTAAAAAGGGGTGGTGCCCCAAGGCATATCCACGGATATCCTAATAACGTAATAAATCGGTAAACATTTCCAGATTTACGAATTTTATTGATGAATCCAAAGGGTAAGTAAAGATTACAAATTATTTGTTGGCTAATAACCACAACAGACTTCATCAATGCATGCTTAAAACACTACTTGAATCAGAGAGCGATCTGCGTTACATGGAGAATGACAGAGATCGCTTTATGATAATAATACATTTCATTTCAACAGCACCTTCTAAACACTCAAGGACACTTTACAGACAGAGATAAAATACACAACAATAAAAGACAGAACAGCATAAAACAGACACCACAAGAAACCACATGCCCACATAACTATCCCCAAACACCTCTTCAAGTTGGTCACTGTATGGAGGAATAATAGTGCTTACAGTTGGTTCATTATATGCTGGATTGTTGGTGCATTCAGTTGATGCCTGTATGGAGGACTGTTAGTGCTTAATAATGCAGAGTTTGAAGATGAATTCTGGATTTGGACATTCTCTCATTTCATGTGAACTCACCTGGAAAAAGAAAACCCTGTCCTGACCCAACACCCTGAATCAAACTCCCAACACCTAATCAAACTACAAACCAGTTATAGTCCCCATTACATTAAGCCAGAAATACATTTGTAAATGTTATCTCGACTGATTTATAGCAAAAATAAGGTTTAGATATAATTTTATTTCCCTTTTCTACCATTCGTTCTTAGTAACAACGCCACGTGCTAACTGCACAAAATGGTGGATACACTCACAGAGACAACATCAAAAGGTTCAGGTCCAATTTCCAGCGTGGTTCAACAACATTCACCAACCTGGTTTATCTATAAATAAGTTACAAGTTATATTTTGAATCAAATTTGTTCCTAAGTAAGCGTTTTTTAATCAAAGATTTACCTTCCGTTTTCTCTGTCCCACTCTTGGCGCTTGCTCAGCATACTAACCGGAAACCAAGTGAGAAAAACGTTTTCTATTCGGGTGCTTTAGGAGACTGCCACCCAGTGGTAAAAATCTGAATTACACTTTATTTTCACAAATTTAAGCACAGCGTTCACAATATTGGGCCATTAAAGAGGCTAAATCAACAGGATTATAATTACATACATTCCAGACACTATCAAATACGTAAAAGTAAGTATTATTTGTGCTATCAGATTGGTATTGGTATCGGTCAGTACTGAAGGCTGTAATATTGGCGTCGTATCGGAAGTGAAAAAAGTTTTATCGGGACATCCCTAAAGAAATCGTGAAAGTTAACATTGATTTAGACGCCATAAATATTGATAGTCTGAATTCAACTAATCAGCTTCTAGCAGGAAATGTCAGCCGGATGAAATGTATTACACAGACCTTTTTCCTCACCGCCAGAGGGTAGCCAAGGGCTGAGACAGCCTGGGTCCTAGCACTTGAGTAGAGGCATCTTGGACTGAAGGATTTTGGCCCCCAAGTTGGTCGACGGTCGTCTGTGTAGTAGAGGAAAACCCTTTCCTCTGCAGTGACTTGACTTTGTGTTTCCTCAGCTGTACCAAAACATTAAATTCAGAGTACAGGTTCCAATGATTCGAACGATGCCAAATAGAAAAAAACTGTTGATCCAAAATAGTTTAACTCTTATTGTGAAAAACTTTTTACCTGACAAAAACAACTTCTGGTTTGACTTAAATGGTCTAAAACAAAACTTCGGTACAGCGAAGTTATACTGTAACTTTTGGAAGCGCTAACAATTTGAAAAAACTTTACGAGCAACGAAGCTTGCCAGGCGAGGTGGGAAGCCTAGCAGAATTTGCTTAAGGCCTGTTTCTTTGTTCTTTTCTCTGCTGCAGGAGGGTTTAACCCTGGCTTTTTTATATCATTTTCTTAGACACGCCCATATGCAGGTAAGTCTCAGGTTTTTCTCTGTTGAAGTGGAAAAGAAAGAAAAGCCTTATGTGAAATGACAGTTTTCTTTTTTTGTCCTTCTCGTTAATCCAACCAGTCAGTTTGAGAATGTGAAATGTGGATTTCCGCTACATTGACATATTCCGGTCTAGCTGTTGTATGATTGACCAACAATGGGTGTCATACTTGGTCTCCCATTCTTTCCTTCATTTCCTCTGGTCCATGTTGAATGTGGTACATTCGTCTAAACAACACAGTGACTATCTGGAGACTCATTGATTTACTCATTACAAGGCTGTAGACACCTGTGATGCTAATTACCTTGAATTATTATGTCCATTTGTTCACAATATTCTTTTCTAGGGGCACCATCATTTTCACAAAGACATTTACGAAGACAACACCAAAAAGAAGAATGCAAGGACCAATATATTAACAACTGTGACAATGGGTGGTGAGTTAATAATAGGGGTAATATTAATATTAATATGAAATAGCATTGTTTGTGAATCAAATTAGTCATAACAATTATAAACAGATAAGACAGAATATATTGTATTTTCCGGACTATAAGTCACACCTTTTTTCATAGTCTGGCCGGTCCTGCGACTTATATACCAAATTATGTAGGCTATACCGCGCTGCTGCGGGCCGGCTCAGGACCAGGAATGAGCTCCCCTGCCCCACTGGGAATAAAAAGACACAGCCATCACCTGCTGGAGCCTGTGGCGCGCAGCTGCGGGCTGGATCTGACCCAGGTTTCAGCTCACCTGCCCCGCAGGGAATTAAAAACACACAGCCATCACCTGCCGGAGCCCTTTCCGCGGCGTTGTGCAGTGGATCAGGCCCAGGTTTCAGCTCCTCTGCCCCGGCTTCACCTGCTGCAGCCTGTGGCGCGCTGCTGCGGGCTGGCTCCGGCCCAGGAATGAGCTCCCCTGTCCCGCTGGGAGGGTTTCAAACACCGCCATCCTCTGCTGGAGAGCATGGCGCGCTGCTGCGCCCGCGTTGTTTATTCTTTTATTGTTACCGGTACTTGTCTTGCAATGTGAAATGCTTGGTCTCAGATTTTGTTAGAAAAATAATAAAATTTCCCTAAAATGTGACTTATAGTCCAGTGTGACTTATGTTTATTTCTTAAGTCTAGATCTTGTCAGAGCTTTTTATTTTCGTGTTCACAAACCACAGATTCAAAATACTTTCTTTTTCTAAATATTTATTTTTATTTCAATATTTGTTTTGATTTTTGTGTAATATGCAAATGGAGGGGGGCATTTCCATATTTATCATTTAGAACAAAGTTAAACATTAACAACAAATATTGATAAATAAAACTGCCTGCCACCACTCAGTGGTGTAGACAGGCTGAGCTGTTCTGCTTAGCCTTTTGTTGATTTGTATCTCCTGATGTCCACTGTGTCTGATAAGGGAGCTGATATGGAAAAAAAAGCATCTACAGTAACTTAAAGTGAACCAACATTTTCTCTCAATTATATTAAAGTTTAATTTAACGTCACCTTGGCCCATGAAAGAAAATAAATATTAACCCAAGCTTTTACAGGCTTTAGCGCCATGTTGTTACAAGTTTTGTTTTTCTCTGTTCCTAAAAAGGAGTTAAGTTTAGATGTGTGCTCATCTCCTCTGTTGGGCACCCGGCCAGCCTCTCTTTTTCTCTCCCTCCTTCCGTCTCCTGATGCTCCAGATAGCCAGTCTGACCTTGGAGGGGCCCACTTTTGGGCCCCTGAGGCTCGCAGTCCCCGGTGCACTGCACTGGCTGCACCAACGTAACTTACACGGCTTGCACTCTATGATTTCAGGGAACTGCACTTGGCTTGGGGTAAAACAGTCCCCTGATATCAGTATGCTGAGATGTTACAAACAGAAAACTGTTGTTCTAAAAGACCAAGTGTGTAAGTATAAAACGTGTTTGTTATTTATTACATATTACATATGTGTAACCTCTTTTATAGAGACTCAGACCCACTTTAACTAACTTAGAAAATATCTGTTAAATAAATGCAGCAAATGTTTAATCTTAAACTCTGTCAGTATCAGTTGATACTGATTGTTAAAAATTCAGTATCAACTTGTAAATTCTTGGCTTTCGGTATGTTACACTTAAGTAAATATACCTAACCTAATTTTTACTCTAATCCATTTATTTGTGTCTAATTTTAGAAAAGCAATGCCGGGTTTATCAACACGTTTATTTACTTTACTTTAAATTACTTTTAGAAATCTCAAAGGAATGCAGATTTGTGTTTGCAAAATCACATTGAAATATCTTTCCAGATATGATGATTTTAAAGGCTGACCTGAACCAACTGTAAAAGAAAGCATAGATAAATGGATTCAGCATTGAGTTCGACAGTGCGAGCCAGTTAAGGGTTTCAAGTACAGGAAGAGGTGCTGGATTATGGGTTAAAGGAATAAAAGAAAAACAAAGAAAAAAAGGAGTCCAACATAAAAGAAACCCACCCAGAACAATAGCCAGAGTTTTGGTAGATTTTCTTTCCATCTTACTGACAGTTGCTCCACCCTTCATCCTAGTTTGGATGCTGCATGCCTGTTTCCGTGCAACAAGGAAAATCTTCAGATACATGCACGGTATTATAACAAGGGGCAGATAATAAGAAAATAAAGGCCCAACTGCATTTGCAACAATATCACATGTGTCACCACAGTTTTCATTTGATCTTGGTATAACCATGACAATTCCAATAAGTTCAGAAACCCCCCAGCTTACAGTAATCATGATGACAACAACGCGGTGGCTGATTTTGGATTTGTATGTTAGTGGCTGACACACGGCATAATATCTATCAATAGAAATACAACACAGATGCAAAATAGAGCATGAGCTAAGAAGTATAACAAAGCTGTTTCGGACCTTACAAAATAAACTATCATGATACATACATGAGCTGAGAGAGAACGCCATGCTGAAAGGAAACACTAGAATCCCTACAAGCAGGTCAGCCACAGCCAGAGACAGAATGAGGGAGTTAGTAGGGGTGTGGAGCTGTTTGAAGTAAAACACAGAGATTATTACAAGGAGATTCCCGCACACTGTGACAAGAGACAAAAGTGTAAGTAAACCATACAACATTACACATACAGCAGTAAGGGTTGTAGTTAGTTTGTAACTGAAAGGATTGATCACAGAGCAGGGATGTAAGACAGATACTGCATCGGTCCTGTTGAATGTTTCCATCACGACCCGATATTAGATGCAGCAGGTACTAAACCACAGAGAAGATACAATTAACATAACTTTTCATAAAGACATTTTATACAATTACAGGAAGGTCTTTGTGAGTATTTTATACACACAGCAGGTGTGCTGCTTGTTGCACTGGACCACTAATCTTTGTGTATGCACTTTTCTAATCTATGCCAACACACCCACATTTGCTCCATCATATTTCTTGTCCAATAAGAAATTAGATCAACATGCCCAATGAAGGCAATGAGAACCAATAACACAGCATGTATGTATTTTATTTACTTACCATAATTTCCAGCCTATAAGCCGCTATTATTTCCCTGTGCTTTGAAGCCTGCGGCCAATATCATGGTGCGGCTCATGTGTAGATGTTTGTTGGCCAACAACCACTAGAGGCACTCTCCAGCAGTAAAGTGAGACAGGCACGGCAAAACGTTATGCATGGAAGATGACCCTTTTTGATTTAAAACGGCACCCTAACAGTCCACTAGAAGCCACCTAAAAAGTGTCTCTTTGACCAGTTGTGCGTATTCTGAGAGGGCCTACCACCCTCGGATACCTCAGAAGTCCACTCACTTGCTTTGTCGAGGCGGCTTCGCTTGCCGACCGGATCCCCAAAAACTTCCACTACACTGGTCATGTAGGCTCTTCACAATGGTGTTAGACTGAATTAGATTAATTCGATAACTAATTAAATCTAAATAAAATTCAACAAAATGTATTCTATAAACCCAGACATCACATCTTTCTGAGTCACTGAATTAGGCTCTTAATAATATATAAGACCCGGAAAGGAGAGCTGGAGATGGAAAGAGCAGGATGTTTATGATTTTGGATTGGCTGTTTTGCAAAAGGGATGTTTGTTCAGATGTTTAGGGAAAAATGGAGCCTAAAAACATTAGAAATGACAATCACTGAATGTATGAATACTTGGGACTGCAGATAAGAAGCTTGTAGACGTGGCAGACATGTTTACTTCATCTACTACTTTTGTGCTCTAATTACTCTTAAAACCAGTTTTTTTTTTTTTCGGTCACCGCCCGTATGGAAAAAATATATATAAATCTTGTAAAGTTTGTATCTGTCTTGTCAGAAACTTGTATGAAATGCATACAAGAGTGAAACCAGATATTAGATTCATAGAAAACTTGTATAAATGAAACCTGTATGTTTTGAATACTTCTTAAAACAATATATGAGATTAAACCGACATACATTAACCTTAGAAAAAATATGCAATATCAAACATATATGTGTTAGACAATCATGTAAAGGAAACTATTGTACGTTATTTTTTATTGAGAACACAAGATAACTTGTGTTGTCACAAATATGAAACAACTAACAATTAACATTAATAATAATAATAATAATACATTTTATTTCAAAGCGCCTTTCAGGACACCCAAGGTCACTTTACAGAAAACACGTAATAAAATACAATAAAACAATAATAAAACCCAAAGAAGAAAAAACAAAGAGAGAAACAGTTCAATAAAATCAGAGGTTGTAAGCAGATTTAAACATGTGTGTTTTGAGTTTTGATTGGAAAAGGGTAAAACTGTCGATGTTCCTGATGTCTGGGGGAAGTGAGTTCCAGAGACGGGGAGCAGAGCGGCTGAAAGCTCTGCTCCCCATGGTAGCGAGACGGGCAGAAGGAACCGCAAGATGGATGGAAGAAGAAGATCTGAGTGAACGGGATGGGGTGTGAATATTTATAAGGTCTGAGATATATGGAGGAGAGAGGTTGTGGATAGCTTTGAAGGTATGGAGGAGAATTTTGAAGATGGACCTGAATTTAACTGGGAGCCAGTGAAGCTGCTGGAGAACCGGGGTGATGTGGTGAAAGGAAGGGGTTCTGGTGATAATACGGGCTGCTGAATTCTGGACCATTTGCAGTTTATGAAGGAGTTTGTTGGGGAGACCATAAAGAAGTGAATTGCAATAGTCGATACGGGAGGTGACGAGGCTGTGGACGAGAATGGCGGCAGTGTGAGGGGTCAGTGAGGGACGGAGACGGTTAATGGAATGTAGATGGAAGTATGCTGACCGAATTAAGTTATTAATGTGAGCTTGAAAAGAAAGTGAGCTGTCAAGAATGACACCCAGACTCTTGACGTGAGGGGAGGGGGAGACTATGGCGCTGTCAATAGTTAAAGAAAAGCTGTCAGATGTTTAGAGGGTGGAGTTAGTGCCAACTAGAAGAAGTTCAGTTTTATTGCCGTTGAGTTTGAGGAAATTAGAGGTGAACCATGATTTGATTTCAGAGAGGCAGAGTGTAAGGGAGGATGGTGGGAGAGTTGAGTTGGGCTTACTGGAAATGTAGAGCTGGGTGTCATCCGCAAAGCAGTGAAACTGGATATTGAATTTGCGGAAGATTTTGCCGATAGGGAGGAGATATACTATGAAGAGGAGGGGCCCCAGAACAGAGCCCTGGGGCACACCAGACTTGACTGGGGAGGGTTCTGAGGTAAAGGATTTTAACTGGATGAACATTGACAATAAGATGTAGGAGAAAACCACAAATTTATGAGAAGCTTGCTTTGAACTTGTAATTAAAAAAATACTACAACATTGAAATTTCCATCTGGGATGAATAAAAGTAATTTTCATTCATTTTTGAAAAGTTAATTTAGTTTTTTTTGTGTGCAAAACTAGGCATCCTTTTGTTATTTCATTGTTATTTTTAAGAACAAGCATTTCCTTAAGTTAGACAAATGATTAAATCAACATTGTAAATATTCAAAATCCATCTTGAATGTATTCAGCATAGACAAAAAATACTCATTCATTGTTATAGAAATATTTTTTAATTTGCACAGAATCAGCAGATAACTGATTGATTTAAAAAAAAACTACACATATATACATAGTATATATACATGTATTTTTTTTACACGACTCAAATTCATTATGACAGGGCTTCAAGGACCGTTTCAACACTATACCATAAACGGATGACATACTATGAAACGAGCAATCACAGTTGTTCCTTTGACAGAACGCTTTGTTATACACATTAACTTTAAGCATATTGTAAAGCCGACAGCCTGTTAGCACTGATTTGGTGCTGTGTTAACTCCATTTTGCTCTTAATTACAGGTTGATGGTGTTTTCTTTTTACATAGTTTGGTTTTCTTGCACATATCAGAGAAAAAGCCAGAGCTAACTAGTTTGTACTTTTCATCTTTGGATTTTAAATCCTTTGTATTGAATTACAGGTTAATAATTATTTCAGTTGTGATGTTATCATTTTAAAACTATATAATTGTACAAAAAAAATCTTATAGAGTAAGTGACTCTCCAAGACATGCTAATGGCTAGCCTCTCCGAAGCTAACGCCAGCCTATCCATGATAATGTTCCGTCGAGGGGGCAGGAAATCCAGCGAGTGGCCAGCCTAGACACGCTAATGGCTAGCCTCTCCGATGCCAACGCCAGCCTCGTCATCGTCGTCTTCCTCCGCTTATCTGGGTCCGGGTCACGGGGGCAGCATCCCAACTAGGGAGCTCCAGACTGTCCTCTCCCCGGCCTTCTCCACCAGCTCCTCCGGCAGGACCCCAAGGGTTCCCGAACCAGGTCGAAGATGTAACCTTTCCAACGTGTCCTGGGTCGACCCGGGGGCCTCCTGCCGGCAGGACATGCCCGAAACACCTCCCCAGGGAGCCATCCAGGAGGCATCCTGACCAGAGGCCCAAACCACCTCAACTGGCTCCTTTCGATCCGGCGGAGCAGCGGTTCTACTCCGAGTCCCTCCCGAATGTCCGAGCTCCTCACCCTATCTCTAAGGCTGAGCCCGGCCACCCTACGGAGGAAACTCATGTCGGCCACTTGTATCCGCGATCTCGTTCTTTTGGTCATTACCCAAAGCTCATGACCATAGGTGAGGATTGGGACGTAGATCAACCAGTAAATCGAGAGCCTGGCCAGCTCAGCTTCCGCATCACTGCAGATGCCGAACCAATCCGCCTGTCGATCTCCCGATCCCTCCTACCCTCACTCGTGAACAAGACCCCGAGATACTTAAACTCCTCCACTTGAAGTAGGACCTCTCCCCCGACCGGGAGTTGGCAAGCCACCCTTTTCCGGCCGAGAACCATGGTCTCAGACTTGGAGGTGCTGATCCTCATCCCAGCCGCTTCACACTTGGCCGCGAACCTACCCAGCAAGAGCTGAAGGTCAGAGCTGGATGAAGCTAGGAGGACCACATCATCCGCAAAAAGCAGAGACGGGATTCTCCTGCCACCAAACTCGACACACTCCACACCATGGCTGCACCTAGAAATTCTGTCCTTAAAGGTAATGAACAGAACCGGTGACAAAGGGCAGCCCTGGCGGAGTCCAACCCTCACTGGGAACAGGTCCGACTTACTACCGGCTATGCGGACCAAACTAACGCTCCTCTGGTAAAGGGACTGAATGGCCCTTAACAGAAAGCCACCCACCCCATAGTCCTGGAGCATCCCCCACAGGGTGCCCCTGGGGACACGGTCATAAGCCTTCTCCAAATCCACAAAACACATGTGGATTGGTTGGGCAAACTCCCATGCCCCCTCCATCACCTTTGCAAGGGTATAGAGCTGGTCCACAGTTCCACGGCCAGGACGAAAACCACATTGCTCCTCCTCAATCTGAGATTCAACTATCGATCGGACCTTCCTCTCCAGTACCATGGGGAGTACCAGGGAGGCCGAGGAGTGTGATCCCCCTATAGTTGGAACACACCCTCAGGTCACCCTTCTTAAAGATTAACGAGGCTGCCCAAACGTTTGCATCCCTCTTTATAATAGCAGCATTATTTTCTGTATGCTTCAGTGTCTTGTTCATAACATCTGCTTCAACTTTGCACCCTGCTACTTTGTTTAGTCAAAGTCACTGCTTTCAGCTATTTTTTAATTTTTTTTTTTTACCAGCTTTGTGTTTGGTTCAATCTCCTTAAATCTCCTTAGCATCCCTAGAGCACATAACCCTACCAAATGACAATCTGTGAAACTGCATCAGAAGCTCTTGTTTATACAAATAAAATCTGCTATTGAGTGTACAAGAAAGTTGCTTAAATTTAAAACTGCAGTTCAAATTTGAGTGTCTCTGGATAAACACTTCATAATACATCCATGAACATACATAACGCATGCTCATTTGTGATTAGAATGAGCTAAGATGTTGATCTCAATTCCTATTGGACAACAAACATGGTGGTGCCACTGGGTGTTGAGTAGGTTTTTATATGGTCTCATGTAGTCCAGTGTGACAAGCAACATAGAAGCACAGAGTTGCGTTGTTTTCTGTCTGTAGTTTCATTCCTAAACCTTGTTTTGAACAGGTCATCATGGAGAAAGACATTACTCTAAACAAGACTGCTGTATTTACCTTAAATCCCTGCTCTTTAGTCGATCCTTTCAGTTTTAAATTAACCCCAACCATTTCTGCTGTATGTGTAATGTTGTATGGCTTCCTTACACTTTTGTCTTTTGTCACAGTGTGCGGGAATCTCTTGGTAATAATCTCTGTGTTTTACTTCAAACAGCTCCACACTCCTACTAACTCCCTCATTCTGTCTCTGGCTGTGGCTGACCTGCTTGTAGGGATTCTAGTGTTTCCTTTCAGCATGGCATTCTCTCTCAGCTCATGTATATATAATGATAGTTTATTTTGTAAAGTTAGAGACAGCTTTGATATATTACTCAGCACATGCTCTATTTCACACCTATGCTGTATTTCTATTGACAGATATTATGCCGTGTGTCAGCCACTAACATATAAATCTAAAATCAGCCACCGTGTTGTTGTCGTAATGATCACTGTAAGTTGGGGGCTTTCTGCTCTTATTGGAATTGCCATGGTATTATCCAGACTAGAAGAAGGATGTGAAGAAATGTGTTTTGTTGATGTAGTTGCGGCAAACACAGTTGGACCTATATTTTCTTTTTATCTACCAGTTATTATAATACTTAGCATGTATCTGAAGATTTTCCTTGTTGCACAGAAACAGGCACGGAGCATCCAAACAGGGACGATGTGTGGAGCAACTGTCAGTAAGATGGAAAGAAAGGCAACAAAAACTTTAGCTACAGTTCTGGGAGTCTTTCTTTTTTGTTGGACTCCTTTCTTTCTCTGTTTCACTTCTCTGCCTTTTACCCACAACCCAGGTCGAGTTCCTGTGATTGAAACACTTAACTGGCTAGCTCTGTCAAATTCAATGCTAAATCCATTTATCTATGCGTTTTTTTACAGCTGGTTCAGGTCAGCTATTAAAATTATTATGTCTGGAAAAATATTACGATGTGATCTTACAAACACAAAATTACATTAAGTTACTCTGAGACACAAACTATGGAAACAACTAGTAACATTTCCATGAAAGCAGACCTGAATCAATTTTGACTTGTGTTCAAGATGGACACATATATGCTTTAAATATTTGTGTTGACAGAAAAATAAACAAAACAACCGTAAGAAAACAAACAAAAACAGAAAAGGATGGACTAGAGTTATAAAATTATTGCTTTTTCTGATACAGATCGTATTGAATTGGGTAAGGTGAGTTACACTAACAGTGTGTAGAAAAGCTTGTAAAATGTAAGCCTTGAATCTGCAACCTTTTTGCAGCGCGGCAACAGTGCTACCATCATAATTAATTGTGTCCCAGAGTGCCTGAGTATTTTGTCCATTCAGGAAGCATTTGATAAGGCATTTCTTTCCCACCAGTTCTTTTACACTTTGATTTTTGTTGGGGGCTATAATTCTTTTGACCTCTAATTGTTCATGTGGTTGACTGACCTGTTGTCTAGCCCCTGAACATGCATATGGCTTACAGTCATTTTTGTGATCAGCCCAGTGGGTTTTCTGACATTTTTTGAGCAATAAAATGCAGTTCTACAAATTGAAAAGTGTTTTATTCACTCTTCATTTCCTTTTTTCCACAGTTCATGCAACAGTGGGACTTGTGATTTCCTTTGGTTGCCCCACGCCCCAAGGAGGCAACCCCGCTTAGTTTAAAGGGCCCCTAAAGGCTGACTGTTGTTTCTGCTCTACAACCTGCCCTAAAATGCTCACTACTCCCACATTTAAAACAATGCTGGCAATGTTCCTCATTGGCCTGAGCACAAGCAAAGCACCTAGGTTGTGGCCGTGGTCTTTGATAATATCTGTGTGGAGTAAACCTTTGTTGGAATTGTGCAGTCTCTCACCCGTCCTGGCCCATACTGAGGCCAGCTCTCCTGCAGTAATTCTGGGTGTTGCCGAGGGTAGAATGACGACATGGATCTGAAAGATGACTGTTCGGAGGATGAGAATGCTGGGCTTAATACAGACACTTGTTCTGGGCGTTGTGGAGGTTGCTTTGGTACTGTGGTATTATTTTTGTTGGATTGTTTCCCTAATTTGGGACACTTCGGCTCTCAAATCGTTCAATAAAACCATGTCAGAGCGCATCTCTTTGATCTCAGATAACAAGTCGGGGGACATTTAGATCTACTCTGTTGAGTGGAAGGTTTAGTCTCCGTTTGCAGGTCACTAGACTGGACAGTACTCACACTAGTTGCTCTTTATGGGGCAGCATGCTTCTTTTTGTCTTGTCTCTCCTTTTCGTTTGTGCAAGCAATGTTCACTTTCTCCAGCAAGAGTTCATCTGGTGTGTCAGGCTGTGTGAGGTAAGGCTGAAGGTCACTTTTGATGTTGTCGTTCTGCAAGCCAGTCTTGACCGTATGCATGAATAAATTTTGAACAAGAGCAGGGTCATATTTAAGCCAGACTCAGCTTCCTGAGAGGCAAACAGAATTTTCTGCCTCAGATCCATCGCTGTAATCAGGAAGTTCTGGGGGGATTCTTTGCTGCGCTGAGCTTCAGAAGTTAGTTGCCTATATAAATCTGTGGCACCTCTCTCCTGGCAGTGGGACTTCAAGATCCTACGGAGAGCAGGTAGGGTGAGAGTCTCTTTGCCCTCCAGATAGCTCCTTAATTGTAGACCTGGAGTTGTTGCGCAGATCACAGCATCAATAATATCTGTCTCTGAATAGCCTTTAGTAAGTCCGCTTTCAATCTGTCTTGCTAAGCTGGAGAATGTCAGCCTATCCTTCTGGCCTGATTCTCCTATCTGACCCATAATGTTGAAGTCTTTGCGCCACATCACACTGTCTGGAAATGTTGGAGTGGCACGTGTAGTTCGAGCCTGTGGGCACGGGGATGTTTTCCTGTTTATTACATCCTGAACTGCTTTTTCTTTTTGTTGTAAGGACAATCTGAGTGCTTCTACCTCTTTTTGAAGGCTTTCTTGGTCATCAGTTTGAACTTCAGATGCCTCTTGGACAGTTACTTGACTGACTGTGTCCCAAATACTGAGGTATTCTGACATCCCTTCATCTTCAAGATTAGCCAGCTCATCCCGCTCCAGAAATTTAATAACATGCGAGATTAACTGACTGCGTGTTTTCCCAGTTAAAGATTCTCTTTCGGGTGTTGAGATCTGCAGCGTGATACATGTTTTAATTAACTGTTCAGCTGTCAGGTTATACAATGCTCCTTTTATCTCCAACTGAATAATTTCCAATCCAGACTCCATGTTGCACTTTTAGGCTTCCAGAGACCATTTAATGGAGCCCCGTGGACTCAAATTGACTTTTGTTGCCCCCTAGTGGTCAGAACACACTTCAGGATACAGATTGTCAACTGCCATCGGGAGTCCTCCACGTTGTCCTATTAGCGACGCTTGGGTTGTTTTGAGGGGATGATCAGCAAAAGGGTTGCACAGGAACTTGTGAAGGGTCCTCTCACCAAACGATCCCAGTGGTGCCTCCAACATGTTACCCTTAAAAAGGGAGATAATATAAGGAAAATGACCACAGGAAAACCGGACCACTGTTCTTTTATTCACTCGCTTGTATTGAGTGTCAGCATCCCACAAACAACACACAGAAGTCAGAACTATTGATAAGTACTAAATAAAGAGACTCTTAACAAGTTTTACATCACTTTTTCTGGTCTTGCATATTTAGATAACAAATAAACCCAAAACTAACATGACTGTTCCTACAACAAAAATTCCTGTATTTTCGTTTTAACAGTTATTCTAAATTATGGTTTTAACCACAACCCAACATAACGGTTCCATATTTAATGTGTTCTATCACTGGGTCTGGGTCCCTGGGCTCTGCTGGGTCCCCGGCAGGGGTGGTTGCCCCTGGGTCCCGGGTCGCTGGGTCCCAGGCTCAGCCAGCTAGGGGGTGGGAGGCTGCGGGCGGGCCTGTGGGCTTGCCGCTGATATCTCCCCAGACTCTGCCGGCTGCTGGTTGCGGCCCCCTGGGGCGATCCTCTGTGCCTCTCGAGGGGGGTGGGGGCCTTTCTGGTTGCAGTCTCCTTGTGGTTCTTGTGTTCTGTGGCAGCGCCTGGATCTCTGGGACTTGGAGCTCCCTCCATCTCCTACACATCTTTGGGGGGCAGATCTGTGGTCCCTCACTATTTTCTCCAGGACTTTGGATAAAAATGGAAGGTTAGATATTGGTCTATAATTCATTGGGTCATCTGGATCCAGAGAAGGCTTCTTAAGTGAAGGTTTGATTACAGCAACCTTAAAATTCTGTGGTACATATCCATTTACTAAGGATAGATTGATTATATCTAGAATGTGGGCAGTAACCAAAGGAAATGCTTCTTTAAATAATTTGAATGGGATTGGATCCAAAATGCAAGTGGAAGGTTTAGATGAAGCTAATACTTTTGATAACTCTGAAAGCTCAACTGGATCAAAACGGTTCAAGCACAGATGAGGTTCTACAGTCACCTCTGATGCTGCCTCACTTACTGAGGAAGAAGAAATCGCATTAGGGAGGATGCTAAAGATTTTGTTTCTAATAGAATTAATTTTACTTGTAAAAAATCCCATGAAGTCATTGTTGCTGAGGGCTAAGGGAATAGATGGCTCAGAGCTATGATTCTGTTTAAGTTTAGCAACTGTACTGAAAAGAAATTTAGGATTATTCTTATTCTCCTCAATTAACGCTGTCTAGTTTGTCGAAGCTTATTTTTATAAAGCACAAGACAATTTTTCCAGGATAGGTAGGCCTCCTCATGGTGAGTAGAGCGCCATGTTCTCCAATTTTCTAGAGTTTAGTTTTAAAGCTCGTAAATGAGAATTAAACCAGGGAGCCAACTTCCTGTCCCTAATTACCTTCTTTTTTAAAGGGGCAACATCATCTAATGCCAAACGTAAAGAGGAAGTAACATTATGACAAACTTGGCGTTATGGCGTGTGACGAATGCTACTCAGCGCTGATTGGCTCAGTTAGAATTCTCAGGGGGTGGGGTTATTTGAATAGGAGAGTTCCCAGATCCTTTCTCTGTGCAGAATTAAACAGAGGAGGAGTCCAGCAGGCCAGCCTAGCAAATACTGACTCTTTGCATACATGTCATGTAATTGTTGAAGCATATGAAGTACCTGTAATCATATTTCAGTGCATCATAGAAACTGAAACAAAGATCTAAAAGCTGTTTAGCAGCAAATTTTGTTAAAACTAATATTTGTGTCATTCTCAAAACTTTTGGCCACAACTGTAGTTTTTTTTTTACCCACTAGCCACACCAACACATTATATTTCAGCCCATCTTATAGTAAGCAGTGTTATGGTAAACACACAGAATTTCCTCCATTCAACCAGCAAACTATTTGCAAGAAAATGTGGTTGAGCGACTCAGAAGGGAAACGGTGTCAACAGAAAGAACTGCAGTGTTTCTGTGGTCTCCCTTGGATATCCACAAATGACCAGCATGAGTACAGCCGGCTGCCCCGGGAAATAGGAACAGCCAGACGCCTGCTCCAACTGTTCCCGGACAGGAGACAGGAGAAGCTGGGCACCCGCTCGAGGTTCTCATGCAGCCCCACTAGCATGTTTGACCACTAGGGGCTGCACGACTTAATTTTTTTTAAAGTCGACAGTCAAGTAATGAAAATCGAGTCGACTTTGAGTAGTCGTTGATGACGTCATACACCTGAAGCGGCGCGGGGTGGGGGGTCGGTTGGTTCGCTGGAGTTTTTGACAATTAAAATTGTGCCCACATTTTCAGTTAAACACATTTCTTTTAACAACGGTAGTTTCTGCTTCAGCCCTCTCCCCCCTCCCCTGAGCAGCGGCCGCAAACTCACTGATGTGCCTGCAGCCTCTCGGAGTTCCTGCTGCTCTAAACATTAAAATAATTATTTCATTTTCTGTTCCTTACTTCTGATTACTTTCAGTGGTGTCTGTTTGTTGCAACCACCAGGTACAAAAACTAACTTGTTTTATCCGACTATTTTTCTGTCCTGTCTGTTTATTATCTTCCTGCATCTCCTCTCAGTCCTAAAGAGAAACTAGGCTACTACATGGGTTCATGTAGCAGGCCAGGGCTGTTCGGGGTTTGTTCTGTTATCACAGTTATGTGTTTGTTGTCATGTTGCTATGGTGACGGGTGACGCGCTCTCTCGGCGACTGTTTTTCCGGTGAGAGCGTGCCTTTTTGGTTGTTGTTGCTGTGGCCGCGCTGAAGTGTGTAAGATTAAACGGGTGCTCCCAAAGAAACCTCTGTCTCCTCCGTGACTGAGCTCGCCACAATATTCACCTTATGAGTTACCTTTGAACTGCAGTTCTAAAAGATCTACCGACCGCAAAAACAGCGGGGTGTGCGCCGGCCGCACCGGTGAGGTGCGTCACCGGAGGACAAGGTGATGCGCCCCGCTCCACAGCAGCAAAAAGCATCAGGCACAAATAAAAAAACAGAAAACATAAAAGGAAATGAGCCGACATGAACGTGTTAAATTTGTTTTTGAGGTGGCGACACCTAATTTGATAATGTTACTGTGGCCGTGCTCAGGACGCAGATGTCTGGAGCGCGTCAACATTCAGAGCTTTTCATGCGCAAGCTGGTTAAGGTTAGGATGGGGGTGAGGGGAAGGTTAAATTGCAAGAGGGTAAAGGTCACAATTTGGTTAAATGTCCATTTTACGGCGGGTGTCAGTACCGACGCTCTGGCACAGCGCGTTGCCTCCCGATGCACAGGAGCTTGTCACCTGCTGACAGCAGGCTGCTGTCTTTTCCGAGGACTGCATCTTGCCGGTCATTATCACGTGACAGCGACTAGTCGATGACAGGCATAACAAGTCACTATAGAGCGGTGAAGTCCACTAGTCGACTAGTTCATACAACCCTTGCTACTGCTTCCCAGAGTGTTCTGCAGCATAATCAGCACGTTCTCTTTGAACTTGATATCAAATTTTCGCCTCCTCTTCGTCTCCGCACCTGCCATGGTTAAAGTTACCCTCGCGGTCTATCACTGGCAAATCAAAAGTGAGACAGATGACACAACCGCCCCCCTGTGGTACTTGCTTGTTACCACATTCCACCCGACCACAATAAAAAAACGGCCATTATTCACCTCCGCCGACACCGGCCAAAATGTGATACCCGGCCGTTAATTGAATACAGGCCAATATTAGAGGATTTACGGTATCCATTTACTAAGGATAGACTGATCATGTCTAAAATGGGGACAAAAACCAAAAATTTAGGATTATTCCTATTTTCCTCAGTTAATGACAAAAGTTTGCTGTTCTTGCTTGTAGCTTTTTATAAAACACAAGAGTATTTTTCCAAGATAAGTAGGACTCCTCCTGGTGTGTAGAGTGTCATGTGCTCTCTAATTTTCTAGAGTTCTGTTTTTAGGTACTTAGTTCAGGACTAAACCAGGGAGCCAGCATCCTGTGCTTAATTATTCTTTTTTAAAGGGGCAACATCATCTAACGCCACATGTAAAAAGGAAGTAACAGAAGACCATCTATATATTTACACACACACACACAAACACACACACACACACACACACACACACACACACACACACACACACACTGCCTCTATAACAGCACAGGATATATTTTCCAAGAATTACTTTAATTAATGATTTTTTTTCAGTCAGTGAAAATATTTTGTTAATTAAATATATTCTTGAACACCAATTAAATCTAATAAAAATGTTTACTTTCATAGGAATATTGCCAGCTAGATTTCTATTTTCTCAAATTTCTTCCTTCAGATTTCTAATCTGAATTTCCGTACCTCAAATACTAAATTATTGCAAACGTATGTTTGTAAAATCACACTGTATGAATTTTCGAGACACAATAGTTTTAATGGCTGACCTGAACCAGCTGTAAAAGAAAGCATAGATAAATGGATTCAGCATGGAGTTTGACAGTGCAAGCCAGTTAAGTGTTTCAAACACAGGTACCGGTACTGAATTGTTAGTAAACGGAAGAAATGTGATGTAAAGAAAGAAAGGAGTCCAACAAAAGAGAAAAACCCCCAGAACTGTAGCCAGAGTTTTTGTTGCCTTTCTTTCCATCTTGCTGGCAGTTACTCCACACTTCATCCTAGTTTGGATGAGTTGTGCCTGTTTCTGTGCAACAAGGAAAATCTTCAGGTAGATACAAAGCATTATGACGACTGGGAGGTAAAACGACAATATTGGTCCAACTATGTTTGCCATGAGTTCATCAATAAAACATGTTTCCTCACATTGTTCACTGCTTAGTTTAGGAATTGTCACTCCAACTCCAACAAGAGCAGAAACCCCCCAGCTAAAAGAAGTCATGATGAATACAACACGGCGGTTGATTTTAAATGTATATGTTAGTGGCTGACACACGGCATAATATCTGTCAATAGAAATACAACACAGATGCAGGATAGAGCATGTGCTGAGTAATATATCAAAGCTGCCTCTGACTTTACAAAACAACCCTTCATGATGCATACATGAGCTGAGAGAGAATGCCATGCTGAAAGGAAACACTAGAATCCCTACAAGCAGGTCAGCCACAGCCAGAGACAGAATGAGGGAGTTAGTAGGGGTGTGGAGCTGTTTGAAGTAAAACACAGAGATTATTACAAGGAGATTCCCACACACTGTGACAAGAGACAAAAGTGTAAGGAAACCATACAACATTACACATACAGCAGAAGGTGTTGTGGTTAGTTTGTAACTGAAATTATTTATCTCATAGCAGGGATGTAAGGCAGCCACAGCGTCAGTCCTGTTGACTGTTACTCCTGTCTCCATGATGACCTGAAATCAAAAAACTGTTTATTACACAAAGACTATACTGATGGTTAATTTAAGATCATTTTCCATTAAACACGACATTATTATCAGTATGAATGAACACTCACAGCAAGCAAGCGTAGGTGGTTCTGCACCTTTCTAGCCATTGCACACTTCTTTTAAGACCCACACAACACCCACTTTTGCACCGCCATGATTTCTATCCTATAAGAATTTGGAAATACAGGGTGGGCCGTTTATATGGATACACCTTATTAAAATGGGAGTGGTTGGTGCTGTTAATGTCCTGTTTGTGGCACATTAGTATATGTGAGGGGGCAAACTTTTCAAGATGGGTGGTGATCCTGGTGGCCATTTTGAAGTTGGCCATCTTGGTATCAACTTTTGTCTCTTCAATAGGAAGAGGGTCATGTGACATATCAAACTCATTGGGAATTTCACAAGAAAAACAATGGTGTGCTTTGTTTGAATTTAACTTTATTCTTTCATGAGTTATTTACAAGTTTCTCTTTGTTCACAGCCATTGACATGTCAAAGAGGTTAACACGTGAGGAGCGGATCAGAGATAGAGGGCCTAAGTCTGTTTCCTTTCCGGTCGACTCATGGGTCACTGGAAGAACATAAAAAAATTGAATGCAAGTCAACAGGGCTAAAATAGCTATTTTCTAATCCACTTTGCCTTAGGCCCTGGATCACACATATGTTGTACTGCAATTTAATGAAAAGTAATGATGGGTGTTTCATGGGTGTCGCATATGTAAAGTCACCACGTAATGTCCTCTCCCCTTGCATAGATGCTACTTACCAAATGGCCAGTTTTATGGTGGTTCTTTCCTCCCGTGGGAAGGATTTGAAGTTTCGCTGAACTTACAGAAAAAACAGATGGAAAATGGCTGTGTCTGTTTTGATGACGTCACTTTTGTGAAGCGCATTTGTAGTCCTGGACTTATTTTCGGACAAAACCTAAAATAATGTTTCCCCTTGTTCAAAAATATGCACGTTCTTGGTCTCAAAATGTGTCTTTAAAATTCACGGACATCATATTTGAGATCCATGGACAGCGGAATTTGAAATTAGCGCATTTAGCCCCATTGACGTGCATTCATTATTTCGTTCTTCCAGGGACCCATGGTCGAGAAGTAGAAGGGCGTGACTTAGGCTACGTTCGCACTGCAGGCCTTGATGCTCAATTCCGATTTTTTTGAGTAAACCAGATTTTTTTTATTTTTGCCGTGGTTGTTCACCTATGACTGAAATGAAACATCAAACTCTCTCCAGTGTGAACACTTCATGGCCCCTTTGTGACCCGTATGCACAGAAGAAAAGAAGTCACTCACAGTGGAGCCGAAACCAGGAGCGGCAGAGTTATGATGTCAAAGTTTTCACTGACGGTTTATACACAGGATCAGGATCACACCTGTCAATTCTTCCGTTTTGTCCCACTTTTTAAATGAAATGAAAATGCCTTTTGTTTCTAATGACGTTCTTTCATGATAAAATTCAGTCTGGAGATCAACTGGCATGATGTGTTACTATAGACTGAATCAATGACTCACATTTATGTTTGTTTACGTGTGACACTGTGCTCATACATTTATGTTTGTTTACGTGTGAGACTGTGCTCATAATTAATCTTTTAATGTTTCCATCACAATAAAGTGTAAATTACATAGTTGTTTACTTCTAACCCTAACCCTTCATACAACCCCTATTGACCACGCAGTTAGACACAGCATTTCCCCCATTCAACCAGCAAAATAAAGTACAGGAATATAATTTTACTTACTGATAAAAAGAAGCAGAAAAAGCTTGGATGATCTGTTAGTGCAGTCAATTACCACAGCTTGCCCTCATTGTCCAAATATTTCCATGATTAACATCAAAACACGAACAAACACAACTAAAGTTCAGAGAGTCGAAATGGCTGAACATTTGTTCATGTGAGGTTGAGGCCTTTCCCCGGAGCTAGCTGTGAAGTCACGTGGCTCTGATGCTCATTAACACTAGAACTCCCAAGGCAGTCATTTTGACTGTTTTCATATATTGATATGTAATACTTAGTTAGATGGATCTCATGTTGTCCTGGCTTCCTGGCTTTTCTTGTTATTGTGTTCTTTATTTTTGCGTAAAATAATTTATCAAAAAATAAATAAAGCTGCTTTTGTCTTTGTCTCCCGCAAGCCGTCAATCTGACAGTTCTGTTGTTTACATGGTTAAGTTTTCTCGCGGATAACATACAGCGTCACTTTTGCTAAGCAACCAAATTTCCAGCTCCCGTGCGCTCACTCTCCTTCAAACTCCATGTGACATCGCTTCTAAAACAATTTTTAGTAGATTGTTCTCAGTGAAACAAGCATAAAAAATTAAGATGCTTCAGGCGGAGAGGGGAAAAATGATCACTGGTCAGTGAAAACTGGTCAGTAGAAAACAGCAACGACTCTGACAGCAACACGGAAGACGATCTGGGACCCCTCATCCACGGAAATTATCCGTGTCAGTCACCCAGCGAACAATAGAGAGACTTCTTTTCAAGATTTGGATTAAAATGATATGTTCTTACCATATGTTCTGGGATGAGGATCAGCACCTCCAAATCTGAGACCATGGTTCTCGACTGGAAAAGGGTGGCTTGCCAACTCCGGGTCGGGGGAGGTCCTACCTCAAGTGGAGGAGTTTAAGTATCTCGGGGTCTTGTTCACGAGTGAGGGTAGGAGGGATCGGGAGATCGACAGGCGGATTGGTTCGGCGTCTGCAGTGATGCGGACGCTGAGCCGATCTGTCGTGGTGAAGAGGGAGCTGAGCCAGAAAGCCAGGCTCTCGATTTACCGGTCGATCTACGTCCCAATCCTCACCTATGGTCATGAGCTTTGGGTAATGACCGAAAGAACGAGATCGCGGATACAAGCGGCCGAAATGAGTTTCCTCCGTAGGGTGGCCGGGCTCAGCCTTAGAGATAGGGTGAGGAGCTCGGACACTCGGGAGGGACTTGGAGTAGAACTGCTGCTCCTTCGGATCGAAAGGAGTCAGTTGAGGTGGTTTGGGCATCTGGTCAGGATGCCTCCTGGACGCCTCCCTGGGGAGGTGTTTCAGGCACGTCCTGCCAGCAGGAGGCCCCCGGGTCGACCCAGGACACGTTGGAGAGGTTACGTCTCCAATCTGGTCCGGGAACGCCTTGGGGTCCTGTTGGAGGAGCTGGTGGAGAAGGCCGGGGAGAGGACGGTCTGGTGCTCCCTAGTTGGGATGCTGCCTATGCGACCCGGACCCGGATAAGCGGAGGAAGACGACGACAATGTTCTTACCATATTATTAGGTTAGCACATCCATAAAGAGTTCATTAATAATGCACTTGAACCGTCTTGCCCCACAACGTCACACTGACGGTTCCTGGGAGTTCTAGTGAAGTTAGAATTCTGGGAGTTCTGGTGGTAATTATTCAGTATTCTAAGCATTAAATTCCACTTGAACAGAAAAGTTACAAAAAAATTCACTCCTCTCAGAGTTGCCATGGATGCAAACTAGATCTATTAAACTGACTGTAAACACTTATATTTCTGCGGTGAAATTGGTATCTTTAACATGGGAGTGAATGTGGACTTGCTCACTTCTGGTGCCAGCCCCTAGTGGATGATGGTGGAACAGCAATTTTAGCAACTTCCTTGTTGGCTTCGATTATATTGCAGAATTATGGGGGCTTGGCTGCTACACTGGGGGCAGGAGAGATGCCTCTGTGATGTCATAAGTGTGACTTCTGATTTGTAGTATTTACAGAGTTACGTGACATAGTCAAACACACATAATAATTTATCATTTATTTTGAACTACATATGTGTGATTCAGGGCATAAGACAAAGCGGATGAGAAGTAACTTTTACAAACTCGTTCACTTTAATTAGATTGTTTGTTTTTGTTGTCAGGGAACTGATGATCTCACCGGAAGGGGAGGAGACTCGGCCCCCTAGTTTTCCCACTTCCTATTGATTATGTAATGAAAAGTGATGGTGCAGCACTTTGATGTGATCTTACTGAGGTTATCTACCTAGAGATTAAAGAGTACAAAGATTTTTTCTGAGAAAGCCAGTGTTCTGATCCTTTACTGTAATGATAATGTCTTAAATCGGTTTTAACAAGCAGGTTAGTCTCATTTTAGGAAGCTTTTAAAGGGATGGCAGAAGAGTCGTTTTATGTCGGTTTTGACTTCCATCCCTGCTACGAAATTAATAATGCTTCTAGAACGCTGACAAGGTCTCCTTCCAGAGTGTGTGTTTTGGTATATATCTTCCTTGGCTCATTGTCAGTTGTCACAGTATGTGGAAACCTTCTAGTAATAATCTCTATCACTTACTTCAAGCAGCTACACACACCTTCTAACTACCTCATCATCTCTCTGGCTGTTGCTGATTTTCTTGTTGGGATCATGGTCTTTCCCCTGAGCATGTCTTTCACTCTCAGCTCATGTCTTTATTACAGAGATTTATTCTGCAAAATAAGGGATAGCATAGATGTCATACTGAGCACAACCTCTATTTTTAATTTATGTTGTATTTCTGTAGACCGATACTATGCAGTGTGTCAGCCTCTGATGTACAGGACTAAGATAAACACCCATGTTGTTGGAGTAATGATCCTTATGAGCTGGGGGGTTTCTGTTCTAGTTGCCATTGGCTTCATAACTGCAGAGATCCACCAAGAGAAGTGTGGAGAAAACTGTTATTTTGACGTCGTGCTGGAAAAGATTCTGGCACCTGTTTTTTCATTTTACCTTCCTGTGATCATAATGTTGTATATTTATCTGAGAATTTTTCTTGTTGCTCAGAAACAGGCACAGAGCATTCAGAACACAACAAAGGCTGTTGTAACTGCAAGCAGCATGGAATGGAAGGCTGCAAAAACTCTGGCTGTGGTTATGGGAGCTTTTCTGATGTGTTGGCTGCCTTTCTTTCTTTGTTTTTCTTTTCAGCTGTTAGGTGGCGTATCAGTGCCAGTCTATGAAACACTAAACTGGCTAACTCTGTCCAATTCAATGTTCAATCCATTCATATATGCTTTCTTCTACAGATGGTTTAGATCGGCTTTCAGAATAATCATTTCTGGAAAAATCTTTCAGGGACATTTGTCAAACTCCAAACTCCTTTGATTCTGTTTTAAATTGGAAAAGCTGAGAGAATCCAGCCATTGTTCAAACCTACAGCTAATAATGCATGCCATTCTGCTTTCTATATATAAAACAACATAGTCTTTATACTAGAGCAGAGCGATTTGGACTCTAATTTATATTGCAAGATAATCTGAAGCATGTGCGCATATTTTAAATCCAAGCTAAACATTGTGAAAATGCCAAATTCAAACAGTTTGATAGCAGAACTGAAATGTTTTCATGCCTTCCTGATTATTTATTAATTGAATTTTGCACAGAATTACAGCTCCACATATTTGAACTAAAAATGCTAAAAAGTTTAACAGGTTGCCTTTCCATGTACTTCCAATGTCTGGTGTAAATACGAACAGCTTTTATTGATGTTCCTTGTGTGATTAAAATGTGGCACATGACTAGAAACACGTTTGTCCATGGTCTCTGGCTTCAGTGCAGACCAAAGGATCAGTTTGATGGTGGTTAGGACCACCTTTTTGTGGAGGGGGGTTGGGCTTTCAACATATTCCTAAACATGCTTTGTGCGCGTGTGTGTGTTAAGCCCCGGATCTTCTTCAGTCCTAAATCTGCCCCTGTTACTGACAGCAGCTACGTTTTCCTGTTGTGACTGAATGCTGCTGCAGCATGGAGGTGTAGTTCTCAGTCATCCTGGACATGATCATCCTGAGAGTTGTAGCTGAAAACAGCTGGACGTTTCTGGATGTGTTGGAGACATTTAGCCTCTCATCCCAGAGGCTGCTTCCACACTTTGGTTGTGGTCAGAAACAAACACACTGGTTGTGCCGCAAGTCTTTTTCATTTTTCCTCCAAAACATGTTTTTGTCTAAATGAAGGTGATGTTGTTGTGAAGTTAAGATTATTTCATCAAGTAGGACCTGTGGGTAGCTGGTTCTTGTAAAGCATGTCATGGCTTGTAAGAATCGGAATCGATAGGAACCGGAATCGAAACGAGGACTTGGAATCGTTCAAAATCAAACGATGCCCAGCCCTAAGAAAAGAAGAGGAAGGTCTGTTTGTCGATAGATGATGTAACTCTTTGCATTTAGCTATCAGAAGGACATTGAGCTGCTGGCTGTCCATACTATCTATCTGCCACAGGAGGTTAATGAGGTTAAATACTGTCAGTGTTTATGTTAAACTCCGAACTGAACACAATCCCCCTAAAAAACAAACCACAATGAGCCTGGGGGAAAATCTCTGAAGGCTGAAAGGAGGTATATCTGCAAAAGACCTTGACAGAAAACAGTTGTACTGTACGGTCGTCTGTTGCAATCTTCGACAGGTTCATGGACAAGACGTATTTCCAGAATGAAATCATTGCAAAATGTGCTGCGCCATATATAAATGCACTTTTTGGTTCGAACAGCCACTTTTTTCAGGACAATGACCCAAAACATACATCGTCTGCAGCTTTCATTGCCTCCAAAGGGATCAACTGGGTTAAAACCCCACCAGAGTCCCCAGACTGAAGGACTTCATTCATAAAGAGGCTAAACCGGGCATGACGCAATAGCTTATTCAAGCTATTAAGACATTCTGGACAAGCAGACTGACCCAGGAAACGTGTAATAATCTCATCACAGGTCTCCTGTTCCTCTGCTTCTCTTTGGAATGTAAAAGCCGCAGAGAAATGGAAATGTGACTTTTTGATGGTAGACCTAAATGCCATTTTGTTATGCACGCAAGCTCCCTTTTCGTATTTCTATTTTTCCTGTTGAGGAGTAAAAACATTTGTTTTAATCTGAACAAAAATAGAGCATAATTTGTTTTACTGTAATCCACCAAGTGTGAGCGAAGCTCATCGTGTTTCCTGTTGATGACTAACGTAAGCAGTAAGTGCCGAGCAATAAACCTTGAATAATTTTCTCATTTGAGAGCTGTCGTTGTCCTTTGTTAAAAAAACAACTGACTAGCAAAGTGAATAGTACAACATTACCAAACATTTTGTTTAGCATGATCTAGCTACACGCTGCAGTACAACAGACGACCTGCATGTCATTGTGCGGTTATTGAGCTGCAGATTTCAGTGTCAGGAGCAGCTTTACGCGTTAGAAGCAGTGAAAGCCTTATTTTTGACAGCCTTGTGCTGGCCCAGATCTGGTTTTCCAGATGTGGCCCACATTTTGGCCATTTCTGGGTCAGCTGTGGGGGGCAGTGGCCCAGATTAGTTAGTCATCTCTCAATCATCCTGCCCCTGTGTATAAAACCCTGTCTGCGTCTCAATATGTTGTTGGTTCATTGTCCTTGTCAGCGTTGTTTTGTCCCCCTCTCTTGGGTCTCTAGGTTTCTGGCTTTATTGCCCTTCTGGGATTTTTGGCTTGTGCCCTTCTAGGTTTTCTTTAGTATTCGTCATTCTTAATAAAGTATGTTTTCCTTTACATCCTCTCCTGCCTCGTGTCGTTCTGGGTATCTGCACATTGGGTCCAACTCCTCCAACCCACAGTGACACTATCCTCATAAATTGGAAAAATAGAGTTATGCTTTGCATTAACCAGTATAGAAACCTTTTGTTAGATCATATTACACTTGAGACAGCTTCTGCTTCAACTTCAAATCAAACTCTCTGGGCTCTTTTGATCGGTTCTATCACATAGCGATGACAGCGGGTCATTGATATAGTCCTGTGGGATGATGTGGGAGACGGGAAGGAGGGTCTGAGTTTGTAGTATCCAGACGTTCACTGGGGGGGGGGGGGGGGGGGGGTCTGGGGCTGGGGGGCTGCTGCTCCACTCTGGAGGTGCTTGGGTTTCCTCGGGGGGTGGACTACTGGTGGTTGTGAGTGGGACCCCCTGGGGGTTCTTGGCAGTGGCCATGGGTTGCTGGCTGGTTGCTGCATCGCCCCTGGGTGGGGGCCTGGGTGCTTGGGGTGTGGGGGAGACCGGCCCCGTGTGAGGATCTGGGCAGGGCCTAGGGAATTGGATCCTGACTTGGATGCTGCCAGGAAGAAGGCGGGGACACGCGGCAGTGCCTGGCCCAGGCTTAGGGGCCCCAGGTGGGCCTTGGCTCCTCTGAAATAATAACAATTATGTCCCATCACGGGGAAGGGGATGCAGTCGGGGGAGGACCCAACCTTACCTGGAGGTCTTATGTCTTATATATGTTCTGGAAGTTGTGCAAATTTAGGGATGGGAGTGGATATTCTGCTGGGGTGGGGCTGGGTTGGTGCCCTCGGACTCTGTGGGGCTCTGCAATGCTGCTGCTTTCCAGATATCAATTTTTTTTCCCTAGTTCGGCATGCCAGTCTTGGTACTCTTTTGGATAGAATGATGGGCCAAATATGGCCCAAATAAGGCACACCAAAACAGAATTATGGATTGTCAAAAGGTTGCCAGAATTCTTCCAAAATAAATTGTGGAATTCCAAAGCACAACCATAACTATACCAAAAGAACCCCAGAACACCACAAAATGCCCAAAGTATATCAAAGTGTAACCATAAGTTTGCCAAAAGATCACCCAAAATAAAATGTGGCTTTCCAAAGCATAGCCATAGCCATCCTAAAATCCCATAATAAAGCCAAATATGAACCATAACTTATCCATAATTAGCCATACGTTTACCAAAAGATTGTATTTTATCCTGAACCTTATGCTAAATTTAATTTAACATTTTAATAGACTATAAAATGTCCTTGTACAGAAGATTCAGATTTTGTGCCTCAGTTAAATAGCCTTGTGAAATATCCTAGGTTACTGTGTGTACGAGGTGCATAAACATAAAACCAAACGAGTAAAATTTTAATATTTTATTTATTTTATTTTTTAAAAGTCAGTCCTGGACTGAGTCCTGGGCTGGTTGAGGGGTTGGTTGGGCGGGCATTCTCCTTTTGCGTCCTCCGTCCCTATACCCAGCCCAGTAGAACCATTTTTTTTATTGTATTTATAATTTCTGCCTCCGTAGATGCCACACAGACCAGATTCCTTCTCACTGCAGCTGAAAATAAAGGCATACACATGGAAAAAGACTTAAAAAAGGATGACGCAACAGTCCATGCAAAGGAGACCTGTGGTGGGCTAAGTAACTGGCTAGTTAAAAAGTCAGTTTTGCATTAGTTAATGGATGCATTTTGTCATCTGGGTTTGAAAGTGACAGCCAAAGTTACAATATTAAATCATCATAGATCATCATAGATTCTCTTCTGGCATGCACAGAGCACAGACGCTTCCCTTTCTGCTCCCTTATCTTTTCTCCCAAGGCTCTTTGTCCTGTCTGCCTACAGAGCGCTTCTCTGCATTTCCTCTGGAAATCACTATTTTTCAGAAATGGATTTAATTAATTGGTCATTCAACGCCATTGATAAGATTTTTTCTACGATGAGAACGGAGGAGGGGACTCGCACTTGCCCTCACGGGACACATGCAGCGGGATATATCTCGATTCCTGGAAGAAGTGGAATATCATCTGTCTCTCAGCTGTCCATTGAGGACGTCGAAGATGTGTGGACATTTGGCCTGATGATCACTGGATTTCTTCTGATTGGAGTGGGAGGATATCTGGTTTTCCGAAAAATTGGGATGACGGGAGCGATTGGAGGGCGACCCGCACCCATGGACGGCACCGTCCGGGCGGAGACCTCACAGACGGGGACGTTACTCGAGGTGAATCATAAGCTGGACAATGTCTTAGCTGCGTTACCGGTGTTAGTGCGCAAAATGGATGTCATCTCAGAGAGGGTCACCGGACGGTGTGGAGATGTTTAATCACCGAATTGGCTTCACTGGAGGACTTGAATGATCAATACAGACTTTAAGGCAGCGAGGAAAATTATCTCTGCCTGACCCAAACAAAGTCCTGTTATCCAATCTGACGCCACAAGCAGCCTTGGAGTTGCGTGCAACAACCCCCACGATGGAAGGAATGCAGACAGATGCTGTGAAAACCCTACCTACCCCCCGCCTTCAGATTGTGGTCTCTGCAGCGAGGTCATCAAAATGGAGGCACTCAATGTGCTCTGTGCTTTCCCATGACCTCCCACCCACCTGTGGATTCAGTTTGCCGAGC